CTACTACTACTACTACTACTACTACTACTACTACTACTACTACTACTCAGTGCCTGTTTTCTTTTTCCATTGCTGAGACGTCAAGGAACCTTTTTTCCAGGACTTCCAAAACCGGGAAGTCTTTTCACACCGCGCGGTGGTTAACGACACCTGTAAGGCATACGCCTACTGCAGGTGAGGATCAGATTTCAAATGCTCTCTTCAAGATGAGCTTAATCAGCATAGGTCATCTCCAGGTCTCATCTCAAACCGGGCTTTGGACTGTGCTGGTCTCTAGAGTCTCGGGCATTGCGCTGGGGATTCCCTGGAGTGTGCGCTGAAAACTGCACTCAATGCCCACATTGGATCACCCTCACACGGTTTCCTTTGCTCCTAGTAGCTTCTTGCTCCTAGCAGTAAGGCCAGGAGCCTGGCTCCTAGTAGCGATGCCCTTTGTCGTTTTAAAGTGCATTGAAGTGAACTTCGAGGCCCGAACCAAAGCAGAGGCGCAGGGCAGGAGACCTGTTCTTGGCAGTGTTTTCATGCGCTTTCACACTGTGACCTGTTTGATGTTTTGACCATTCTTGAACCTGTACTGAACTTTACTCACCTTCGACATGTCAACCTGCTGTGCTGACCCATCCGGATTTCCGGCTGTAGGCTCCGATAGATTGAACAGAACTCTTCATGGCAATGTACTGATGCAGCAAAGACTTGGCGGACATGATAATCGTGGATTGCAGGAAATATCTTTGCAAGAAATATCTTGTCACCATGTTGCCAACATGTAGGCAATGGCGGTAGCTGTGGTCGCTTGTTTGGTGCTGACTCTGCAGACTTGGTTCGTTCTGGCAGATGGGCAGCTGCAAGATCTACTTGTAGCAACAGCTCGAGGTAGAGCGTCCCTCCAAGAATTTCTCGGGTCGACAGACTGGACAAAGAGAAGTGCTTCCCTCCTCAGTGCAAAGGATGAGTTTGGTTTCAGCTCCCTTGCTGTGGCGGCTTACAATGGGGATTGGCAAGCAGCAGAGTTGCTGCTCAAGCATGGTGCATCCGTCACCTCGGGAGACATCACTGTTTTCATGGGTGAACAAGCTGTGAAAGTGGGATCTATTGTGGAATTCATAGTGAGACGCAGCTCAATGCTCATCATGCTCGGAACAGGCAGGATTGCCTTTGAGAGACTCTTCGGACAGACCTGCCGTGTCAACCTTTCAAAAGATTCGGGCTTCTTAAGGCTTTGTCGAGCTGCCTGGGCTGTTGTTCAACATGTCCATCACAATCCCCAGGACCCATCACTTGATGATTTCATTGTGACCCAGGGTTCTCATGTTGCCGGAACACCGTCCATCAATAGAGGGGAACTAGGTGCCATTGTATGGCTTGCACAGTTTTTTCGCCCAATCCCATCCACACGATTTTATGTCTGTTCACACAGATTCCGATTTTGCATTTCGCCTTGTCGAAGATATCACTAATCAAACACTCGATCCCAAAATCTATCAGAGAGTTCATGCTGATATGATCCATCAATTGCAACGATTTTGGAATCCCCTATTCCACCAGATCAAGAAGGTAAAATCGCATCGTAAACTTCAGGACGCACAAGATCCAGACGATTTGTATACGATCTTGTGGAAATGATCTTGCCGATAGTGTTGCGAAACAAATTAATCAGGTCGATGTGCCTCTTATTCTAGATGCAGCACAGTTCGTTTTTGAGCATACGGAAAAGCAAATTGAGGCATTGCTTAAAATTTATAGATATCTTGCAGAGTTGAACGCTCTCCACTCGAGTTTGAAGCTTGAGAAAGAAAAAGATGCAGCAGACACTCATCAGTTTAATACGCTCCGCTCTAAGCCAATGGGATGTGGGACCCAATAGCTGGACTCTAACCACAGCATTATCGGAGATCGTTGCAAAGGGCTGCCCGGTGGGCGCTAAGGTCGCGTATAGGGTGTGGCATATGTTTCGAACATTCTGATGGCGCCCCCCAGATCAACCATCAACTCCAGGCGATTTTGGTATCTCCTGGTATGAGTTAACCTTGTATTATGCAGTATACACAGGTCATTGCTTCCCTATATGGATCTACTCCACAGAGCATAAATTGCCTAAACCATATTGCGTTTGACTCACCCGAAGCAACAATTCAGCCAGATACAAAACGGTGTCTCTGGTATCAAGCCGGTGTTCTGCGTTCCGTGGTAAGATACCTTGAGAACACATTGCAATGTTTTTTCTCTCCCCGGTATAAGAAAACCAATGCTAGTTCGCTTGTTCGATTAGGGTTCCACAGGAGCCTGGTAGGGGGAATTTCTGCGCGCCCTTTCTTGCAACTGGCAGACTTGCTTGTGCAAAAAATAGAAGTATACGCCCCATTGCCAAAACAGTCCTACCCATTGAATGTTCGTGTTGTGCCATCCACAATTGCACATTCGACTTTGTGTCCTGATCCGCCGTACGAAGATATCGCCTATGACAAAAGTCATAACCTATACAGTACCAGAAAATCAAGAAATGCACTCGTCTCAAACAAGTCACTTGACATGCTTGATGCCCCAAATTAGGTCTTCGTGAATGTGCTAATTCATCATTTCTCATCTCACACTGTGTCTTTTTCCGGTGTCGGGTGAACGATGGTTGCACGTTTTTGTGGATATGAAACAATTGTTTCATTCATGTTCATTCGTACATACAAACCCTCTGGCACCCCACGATGTGGAAGGGCTTTCGAGGGGCGAACATTGGATCGCGAGTTGGTGTGGCTTCTTAAGGCTTTTTTCTTCCGCTTTCGCAGGCTTCAAGATGCCCAAATACCTTGACAGCGTGCAAAAGTATATCTCCACGGCCAGAACACCCTCTGCATCAGCGCCGGAGGCATGTTGCAAATGTTCAAGTAGCACAGTCGGCATCAATATAGAAACAAGAACGCTACTAGGGGCTCCTGGCATCGGTACTAGGAGCAAGGACGCTACTAGAGGCTCCTGGCATCGCTACTAGGAGCAAGGACGCTAGTAGAGGCTCCTGGCCGTACTACTAGGAGCAAGCACTCAGTTTTTAGTGCGTGGACGTTGTGAGTGCAGGTCCCTGATATGGCACGGGCGCTGGAACTGTTGGTGCACGCTGGGGCGCTACCTACAGAGAAGTCTCAGGAGGTCAGGAGGTAGTACCTGCATTTCTTTTGTGTGTGTGTGTGTGTCACGAATGTAAACCAACTAGTAGCAATGGCCTCCAACCTAATACAGTAGGTATTCAAAGCAAGCAAAAGTCATCCAATGTCATCCTCCTCAGCTTTTTCTTTTTCCAGTGTGAACCCTATTGGAGGAGGGGTCGGACCTTGGCCGCGCAGCATACTTTTTGGACACAACCCTGGCCAACACCTCAAGTCAAAGGGTAGGAAAACTTGGCTACTTTGGAAAGCTCAGGTGGGTGTTTTGGTCAACAAAGTCCTGAAGCCTAACCGCAGGGCCGCTAGTCGTGCTCTTCCCAGTAAGACAGAGAGGGAGAGCTAGCTAGCGATCGTGCAAGAGGCAAGAGGCAAGAGGTGTGTGTGTGTGTTTCTTGCCCATTCCTTTTTCAGCACTTTGACTTTCATTTATAGAAACAGCAAAGAGGTGCTGTGATTGCAGCACTGCTGGGCATCAGCCAGCTGAAACATCGCCAGCAGCTGAGACACGGCACGAAAGCCAGCACGGGGATTGACCCACGCTTTGAACCCCTTCATGTCCGAAAGAGGATTGCTTTCATGCGCCACACTCTCTGGGGGTTTGTGCAGCTCCAAGAAAGCAGAGGCAGGTTCAATGCAGTGGCACTTAAGAATGCAGAAACCAACAAGAATTACTAGGGGCTCCTGGCCTTACTACTAGGAGCAAGGACGCTACTAGGGGCCCCTGAATTCTTCTTCCGCTCTCAACCACTCACTTCGCTCTTGCTCAAAAAGCCAACCACGACTTCTTTGCCTGGCCTGGCTACTTTGCCTCCCCGCCCCCTGCGGGTATTTTCGAAGAATGGCCTCGCTGTACGGGACACACTGTGTACCGCCAGTCTGCCAGTGCCCGCCCTGTTTTATGATATGAAACACATCCTTTTGTGGACTTGGACGGGTACTGTATGGTGTTGAAGCTCTGGTCATTTGGTGCATTTTCGTTCCGAAGCAGAACAAGCAAGGCCTCAACCGTGCTTTGCTGCAGCAGCCTCGCATGGCAGGCAAGGCTTGGTAAAGATTTGACCTTTGCGGGCCGTTCAGCACTCCGCAGGGCGACTCTTCCGAGACTACTATGGCTTTGACATTGCCACGCTCGCAGAATTTGACAGCTTCGCTGGAAACTTGACTTCAATTGTGTGGTGGCAGGTATCTGAAGCGGCGCTTCTTGATCCGTCAAGGGCCTACGATTTCAATTCTACAGTTTGAAAAGTTCTCCAATCTGGTGACACATCGGCTTGCTGAATTTTTGTATGTACTGTATATATCTCAGAAACGAAAGAAGCGATTGACATTGATGCCCGAGGAATTTTTACAGTCTGTCCTTTGAAGACACAGTCCGCATGGTCATGGGTAAGGTCCTTTCAATAGCAAAATTCCTCCTTCACAGGACATTTGGCAGTTGCCAGGCCCGGCAAGTTGTCCGCCATTTACTTGGTGCGAAGGCGGACGCTTCCTTACCTGGAGCAGTGCTGGTGTGTTTTCTATTTATTGACAGTCTTGGCACAACTAAGGACCCCAGCTTTGCTCAAAGCAAGCAAAGTGGTTCCGTTCCCAGGTAGATCTCCTCATTCAATAGACTCTTTGAAGAAAACAAGGGTCCGCTGCGTCAGCTTTACATTACTAGTCTGGTCTGAGGCAAAACTGCGCTTCACCACTGTCGCATTCCCAAGTTACATGGGTGCAAAGAGTGGGAATGACCTGAACAACCATTGCGGACCTTAGGTGCAGAGCATGGACTGACAGAGCTGGCGCAGGAGAACTGAAATGTGGGTAGAGGCGATTGAGGCGGTCGAGGGTTGGGATTTGCTAGAATTGAAATCGATGTTGCGCAGGAGCTCCTGTCTGCAAGAGCTGATCCCAACAGGAAGAGCAAACCAATGCAAAGGCCCGGAATCAGAGTAATTATATAATTGCTTTAGATCCGGAGACGCGTAGAAGAGGACGCCTTTACATCAAGCTGTCATCCACAGATCACTCGGAGCCCTGACCTTATAAAGAACCATGGGATGATATAGGACCGAGCAGAGGATCTTTGATTCATGTGTGTTTCAATCCGAGGTCGTAGAAGCATTGCTTTCTGCCGGGGCAGATAGTGAACTTGTGGACGTAGCAGGCCCGACGTGCTGAATGAGCTGTTAGACTTTAGATCCAAACTGACGGCAAGTATTTTGCGGTTCCTGTGGACGTTGCAGGTCGCACTGCCCCAGAACTGGCGCATCTCTTGCAATGGACAGAGGCAGGATGAGCTGAATGGGTGGATGGGATTTGCTTGACAAGGGAAGTGAAAGAAAGGTGTTTCATGACACAGGTCAGGCAGCTGGATGCATTTGCCTGCCCTGAGGGGCAATGCTTTTGGCCAATGCCTTAAGCATACTTTGGCAAAGATGAGCGTAACAATGTCACGGATGTTTTTGTCCAGGCATGGAAACCCGCTTGCCAAGGAGGAGTGTACGCAAGTTCAAATTACTATAAGCTTTGCACACCGAAAAACACGTGCACATGCACACTGAGACGAGAACACCCAGGACAATTTTGCCCTAGCAGAGCTGTTACCAGCAGGCAAGTCTGCACAAGTCACAAGTCCGTGAGTCATAGCACTCTGTAGCGGTGGTAGCGACAGTGGGGTATCGGGCTCGACCAAACACCAAGATGGAAGGATCCGTTGATCCTGTGCGCTCTTTTCCAAAGGCCTCGGTCGGCCTAGTTGCCAGCCATGGATCAAAGCTGGGCTAAAGAAAGGGCCCTTCCTGTGGAGCCGGATGCAAGGGGGTGCATGTACATGTCACAAGCTGAACCTACAAGGCTGGAAGTTGCATCAGCCCACAAAAAAGAATCAGCTTGTGCATCCTTGGTGCTTACATGCTTCACTGCCGTTTTGCCACGCTTGGCATTCTTCTTGGCCGCAGTGAAAGTGGGGTCGAAAGCTATGCACCAGTGGAACTTGTGGAGAAATTTCATGAGGCTCAACGACATTCGGGTCGTTTCTTTGTCATCGCGTCGGCGATGTCGTAGTCGCTCGCCAACCACCTCAAAGAACAACCAGCTCGAATCATCTGCTCTCTCAATTGTAGTGCTTGTAGGGCGGAGCGAAGGTTGCTTAACCCCAACATTGGTGATTCATTCACCTGCACTGCGTCGAATCCTCCTCGAGAATCCGTGCACACGAAGCCAGCCACTTCGCGGGATTGTCGCTCAGCCCAGGCGACGTGATCCACCGCTGTCGGGCGGTTCCATCCCGCTCCGTGGAGTTCTGTCCACAACAACCTGACGCGGAAGTTCAGGTCCTCGCCATCAAGAGCCGCCTGGACTTCTGCGTCGTTTGATCCTATGGACTTGCGCTTCAGCTTCCACGCCTTCCATTGAAGGAGCACCATCGGACAGACCTGTCCGCTTTTGGCCTCAGGGCCAGCCATCGTGGTCACTAGACCTCCGGTGGAATCACCACCAGGCCTGTTTGCGCGTGCTTGGTCCGCGAAAGTGATCACGGAGATGTCGCGCCAGGTCTTGGCCTTCTTGAGCTTGAAAAACTTCAGCTGCGCAGGATGTTGGCGGACTTCGCAAATCATCCTTTGGATCTCGATGGCATAGGACATTTTGCCATACTTCACAAGCTCGGAGAGGAGTATGTTGCAGCGGCCACATAGTTGTGGTTGCGTTTGGACAGCCACCCATTGAAGTGAGCCGAGAGCTCCTCTACAGGCCATTTGTTCTGCAGCAGAAAGCTTTGCTTCTTCGTCGCGCATGCGATCTTGAGGAATGTTCACATCGCAAAGCATGTCTATGTAGTACTGCTGGTTCACGGTGATGACCTGGTCGCCATCGCGGTCTCTGGTGACCTCAATGTCAGTGCCCGCGTGGCGGTAAGAGCCAACCTTAGCAGTGCCCCAGGTGTAGGCTTCGTCGATGGACCGTTTGATGGCTGCCCACTCCTCATCATGCGGACTACCGATGCGGTGAAAGTCATCGACGTGTCCGCCCATCATGCCAATGACCAAGGGGACACCATGCTCATCCTTGCGGGTGGCGCTTGTCCAAATCCATAGGCGCCTTTCTCCCATGCAGGGTCGACCGCCAAGCTTGCACAAGGTCTCACGCAAGTCAAGCCATAGACCTCTTGGAGCCGTGGTGCTGCCGTAAATGTTCTTCATGATCTTCATGACTCCTTCGGGTCCCACTTGGAGAGCTTCACGGAGTTCAGCAACACCGGTGGTCCACATGCAGTTTAGCATCTGCGGATGTCGGCTTGGTCTGCAGAAAGGCAGTGGCGAGGTCCAAACCTTCAAGAAGCCAGTCATGTTGGCATACCATTTGGTATAGAAGGTTGCGGGCAAGAACTGACTGCACAGGACTGCTGGTCTTGTAGTCGGTGGAGCCTAGCTCGGGGTGCTCATAGCCGAGGAGAACAATGCGAGCCTTGGCCTTTCGGTCTCCTTCACGGGTGTGGACTGTCTTGGAGTTCTCAGCAGCGTCCTTCTTGGCGTCTGCACGATCTTCAGGAGGCACCAATTTCCAGACAAGGACCCATCGGGCACGTAGAACACGGCCAGAGCCAAGAGCTTCTTTGATCTCTTGATCATCCAAACATTTCCTCACAGCCTGGTTCTGAACGAAGCTGGATACCTCCTTGGCTTTTGCTCTGTTGAAGAGTACTTGATGTTCTTTGGAGAGTTTGCCAAAGACGACCTCGCTGTCACGCATCTTCTTGACCAGAAATGCTGACGGGTTGTTCATGAAAGCCTTCTTGGATCTATTGGATTCCAAGTCGAGGTCAAGCTCAATGGTGAAGACCTCGTTGTCATCGGCAATGGCTGCCTGAAGGATCTTCCAATGTTTGTCCTCCTCCTCAATCATGTAGTTGATCGACATGAGGTTATCAGCCGTTGGAACTTCACGTCCAGGGATTGCTGATGATGAGGCTCTTGCAGAGGATGATGAAAAGGCGGTGACTTCTTCACGCCTTGGAATCTTCTCAGGAGGCTCCTCAACATCTTCAGGTGACGTGGGTTCATAGTCATTGACCATCGGTGGAGGTTCAGGACCAAAGAGTTCTGTCTCCAATTCATTTCTCTCACGCCGCTCACGTTGAGTCAGCATCTCCTCAGGAGGAACTGTTGAGCTCTGCGGATGGGGGCCAGCATGGTCTCAGGATCAGGTTGACCTGGTAGATCTGGAGCTTCACGATCGTCTTCGCCAGGAGGTTGATCGGCGATGTCGATGAAGTCTTTCTTCGGCAGAAGGTCTGAGATGGATCTCCATTGTGTGGGATCTTCACGGGTGCTCAACTCGTAGGTCATCTGCTCGGCCGGAGTGACTGGTCTGACCGAGTGTACAGAGCATCTCATCAGTTGGGATCCGATCACGACCCATACGATGTGACGTCGTTGATCTTCGGGCTGTTGACGACCAAGCGCCTCATGAAAGACAACTCTTCCAGGTCCAACGCATTGTGGCTTTCGAGCTTTCTTGGATCCACCTCGCCGGCCTTGGTACAAGGAAGCCGGCCATTCAGGTCGCCACACTTTCACCAGTTGTGTTGGGTGAAAAGTGCGAAGAGGTTGGCGAACATTGCTGTTTTTGAGTTTGCTCATGACTCGAAGTGATCTTGTCTTTCGAGCCACAGTTTCAGCATCTTGTCGAGCTCGGACCAAGGACTCATAGGACATGTGGTCCTCATAGTTCTCAAGCTCTCGAAAGGTTCTCAAGTCCTCATCGGCCAGGGTGTAGTCCTTGCCGTAGCACCATTGAAAGGCAGAGTAGCCCTTGGTGTACTCGGTGGAATTGAGAGCTGCGCATGCAAGCATCAAACTCACACGCGGATTGAGATGTGGTTGATCAATTTGAATGGCTGAGGCTGTCATCTTGAGATCTTTGATGGCGGATTCGACAACGCCATGTGCCCATGATCCTTTTTCAGCAGGGAAGGCCAATTGAATACCAATGCTGCTGCAAAAGTCGTGCATCTCGCGACTCTTGAAGGTCTTGGAGTTGTCGGGCACGAGGATCTCAGGTTTTGGCTTGTCCACAGGCCATCGTTCAGAAAAGCCAGTGATGACTTCAGTTGCAGTCTCACCTTGCATCTGAAGGAAGTCATACTGCTTGACCACGTAGACCGACTTGAGCTTTGTGGCCAGGTCAATGAACAGCAAGAAGCGTAGCTTCACCTTTTGATTTGGCACCAACCACTCAGAGGCGTCAACGCCCACAGCCTGCCAGGCCTTGTAGAGCGAGTGTGTTGAAGCTGGAGGGACCTTGCCAGAACTGTAGCCACCAAGTTTGAGGCTTTGACACGTTTCACAGACAAAGTTCTTGGCCATGTGAATCTTCCATGCCGGGAGTCCAGCATCTTTGAACAGATGTTGAAGGCTGCGATTGCTTGGATGTCCAGCAGCACGATGATAATGTCGAAGCCGAGCCATCCATTGATCTTGCTCTTTCTTGGGAACTTCTGCTAGAGGATTAGCTTCCTCTGGCTGCTCAGGAGGATCATCATCATCAGGAACGAGTTCTGCTGGAAGAGCATCAGGTTCATGAAGGAGTTTTTTTCTTCTCATCCAGTTCTCATCTTCATGATCGGCTTCACTGGAGCCAGTGGTGAGGTATTTGAGATGCCGTAGAGGAACAAGTTCTCGCTTCCAGTGACGGACAATGGCTTCCACCATTCGGCGAGGATAGTATGCCCATCTTGATGTTTCTATGCCTTCAATCAGGGTATGTTGATGGTTCTTGGGACAGACCTTGGCTCTGAAGTTCTTGTGGAAGAGCTCGTCAGTGGTCTTGATGAGCCAGCGCTTGTGCAGGAAGAGGTCGTTGTTGCGATCTCGCACGCCATAGTTGCAACCATCAATGCGACATGACTCCCAGGGAATGGAGCGCTTGCGAAGCTCATGTTCCAAGAACACCATAGGATGTTGTGTCCATCCAGAGCAGGGAAGGTCCATTCGAAGTAGACGTCAACATTGGGGTCGTCGTCCATGGTGTCAAGGAAAAAGTCTGCTGCCCATCGAAGCATCCTTCTCTCACGCCTTCGATGGCTTTCAAGGACCTCACGCTTTTCCGGCGTGTTATAGTTGACATGACTCCATTGGCACCATTTCGTACAGGGCAGAGAAAACCAAAGTTTCCGAGGTCGGTCACGACGTCGTTCGGACTTGAGGCGTTCCCAAGTCTCCTGCTTGTAGATGTCATAGCCCTGGATGTAGTTGATGCGACGACCACAGATGCCATGTTGCTGAGCTGATGCCGTCAGCCAGCTGTTGTCAGAGCAGTCGATCTCCCACAGACCTTGACGTCCCTCAAGGTTCATATCAAGTGCCACACTCATCAAGGTGGAGGTCATGAGTGCAACCATTTGCATCACTTGCACAGCGATGCGCTGTGGGATCGGTTTTGATGCCGTCGATCGATTCAGAAACTGCTTTGATGTCCTGGATGAGGTGTAGTGCGTTGAGTCGACATTCACAGACATGTCGCCCGGGTCATACTCAGAATCGATGTTCTTGTCCACCTCAGCGCCAGCAGCAGCACTTGTTATCGATGAGGTCGATGTCGTAGTGCTCTTGCCAAGGACCTTCACTCCATGCTGGGTGACTGTAGGTTGGGATTCTGACCCTCCAGTTCGAGACCCGTCCTGCGCTCGTGCAAGATTGCACGGAGCTGGGCTTTCTCCTTCTCGGTGAGGAGGGTCTCGATGTCGTGCTGTTCCGGAGTCAGCATCTCCCAGCTGCCTTGGCTCGTGGACATCCGAGGCGAAGTGTACCCTTCGGTCTTGGGTTTTACCATGGTCTTCGCCGCAGTGGCCTTGGGCTTCTCCTTGATGGCAGCTTTCACAAGAGTCTCCAACTGCACATCTGCCGTGATCTTGTCCATCATGGCCTTGCAGATCCGTGCGGTAGGACGCGCGCCATGCATCAGAGGCTCGAGCTCGGAGAGCGTGCGCTGCACCATCTGGTGGTTGACCACCTGTGTGGAGTTGCTCGGAGATCCCTTCTTGGGAACATAGGCCATGCGGATGTTGCACACACTGCAGTGAAGCCAATGGCCATGTGGATTGCTCTGCCAGGTGCCCTCGACATGGTTGTCGTAGCAGGGCCAGGTGTTCTGAGCACGTGGATGTCGAAGATCCATTGTCATCGCCCTTGTCTTGTCTGGAGGCTGAGATTCCTTCTTGGGCGCTTTGGGTCGTAGTTGATCGATGAAGTTCACCATATCCTGCTCGGCTTGCATCGACGGGTGACTCATGGGGCCGCCCTTCTGCGCCATGCCGTTGCAGGTGAGCACGAAAGGGGATGTCGTCAAGAGGCTTGGAGTCCACAACGGACTGCGTGAGAGCCGAACTGCTGGATTGTCCATGAACATGATGATACAGTTTCCAAAGCAACTCTTGACTGCGACGATCATCGACGGTCGGTGCACGATCCGCAACTGACATGTAAAGTTCCAAAGGACGAAACTGCAAGGTGGCCGTTGACAAGTGATGTGACTGGTTGTCCACATGGATACGTGCTGTCGTACTCAAAGTGGCCCTTAGCATTGGACTTGAGCTTGTAGATGGAGGGTTCCTTGTCGACACCGTCAATCACATAGCCCGACATGAAATCCACCATCATTTGGCAACCTGTCTTTCCCAAGTGGTCCATGCCTATGAGGATGGGTACGATGTTCTTCACAGACAACTCTTCGGGGTTTGGCAATGAAAACAACGAAAACTTCCGAGGTTGCCCACTCACATTCGAAACAAGGGTGGCGCGATACAATGCTTGGCCCCAGCGACCGTTCCCAAACCGAAAGTGCGGCCGCATGTATGGCTCGATCGTCACTTGTGCTGATTTGTCGGCCTGGAGAATGGCCTGAATGAGACCTTGCACTGCCACTTCTGGAGCGGCGGAGGCTGTCGCGCCACAATCAAGCATTCCAGTGGAGGCTTTTGCCACTGATGGATTCCCTGAGCGCTGTGCCGCTCCAAGGTCAGCTTCAGCTGAGGTGCAAAGTTCAAGGCCTCCGATGTCAAAGTGCTGGGTGGCATAGGCGTTCACGGATGGAGTGCTCTTGCCGAATCCCTTGCCTTTGCCCTTGTATCGTGAGCTGGTCCAAAACATGTCATGAGGTTCCATCATGTAGGAGGACTTGGATTTGTTCTTGCCGGAACCCTTTTTGGACTTGCCCTTCATGAAAAACATGTCGTGGGGGTAAGAGTCCACGTAGTTACCAAATTACTTGCCCTTGCCCTTACCATGCTTACCAAACATCGGAACTCGGCGGTCGGGGCAATCTCGAACAAAATGATTTCCACCACAGTTGAAACATTTGTTGCTAGTGTGCTGACCAAAACCACGATCTTTCTTCATTTGTTGGGTCGTGCGTTGTGCTTCGGCCCAGGTCCTTTTGGCCTCCAAGGCCAGCTGTTCAGCAGCTTGCTCGGCCTTCTGGGCCTCGAGGATTTGTTCATCAGGTTCTTCTGCAATGGCCAAGGATGAAGCGGGTTCTTCATCAGGCCATAGGTGATCATCTTGCCATTCTTCATGCCACTGCGACTCCCACCAGGAGTCTTCATTGTCCCAAGGGTCAGGAGCATGCCATTCATCTTCCTCCCAAGACTGCCAGTTCAGGTGTCCATACGAGGGATTGGAAGATGACGAGGACGGTCGGTGACCAAGGAGTTGCTCATCCCATAGGGTCTGTAGTGCCCTGCTGATGGCCTCAAAGTCAAGGCTGTTCTGCGTGGCAGACAAGATGTCCCTTGTCTCTTCTGGGTTGAGACACGCTGCTTGCAGAAGTCTCCAGCCTTGGAGGACGCCCATGATGAACGAGTCGGTCACGGACAGCTCATTGACTCCCATCGTTGAGGGAGCCTGGATGCCAGCAGAGATCACGGAAGGAGCTCGTCGTGCAGGTTCACCATGGCTTGGAGAAGAGCCTGCACTGGCACGGGCAGCGCCATCAGATGCAGATGCATCTTTGGTTGGTGTTTTGACTTCACCAGCACTGGCCACAGGATCACGAGGAGGTTCGCTAGGGTCGCCAGGTTCGTCAGGATGGGGTTCGTCATCGTCATAGTTCTCATACCACCAATCCCAGGAGGAGTCCTCGATGGGCGGAAGTCCAAAGTTGACTTCACTTTGGCTCACACCGTTTTTCTCTTCCCATAGGCGAAGAAGCGACTCAGCAAATTCCTCATAGCCAAGCGTTTCCCTGACAAGGAAGGTGGCCATACCTTCATGTGGTCTTCGACGGAAGCTCAGGTATTGCTGGAGGATCGCCGCCGTGTTGGGTAGAGTTCTTCGGACAAGTGGCGAAGAGTTCAACTTCCGCAGGAGGTTGAGGGTGCCATCTGGGGAGTCGAACTCACCACGATTCCAGCTCATTGCAAGAAGGCGAGCTGGACCTTGAAGCCTGCTGATGAGCTTGGATGCCGCATATCTTCGTTTCTCCACTGGCGTCGAGGACACGAACCATGCAACTTCTTTCGTGTACCTCCGCCAGCCTTTCGCCTGGCCATCCCAAGTGGGGATGGAAACAAAGCCATCCTTCTCCGACATCACAGGAAGGGGAAAACTGCGAAGCTGGAGTTCAGCTCCAAAGCAAAAAGAGTTGTAGCCGTAGAGGTCGGCCAGGAAAAAGTACAAAAGGTGGTGCACCGAAGATCGCTTCAAAGTAGGCCAGAGCGAGGATATCGATGGCCTCCAACCAGCGAAGATCAGGTGCACCGCTGCTTGAGGACACCGCAATCGAGGTCGACAGCGTCGTCCTTGAACAGCAGGAAGTCCCTTGGAGAGCAATCGCTCCGCTACCAATGTAGCGGTGGTAGCGACAGTGGGGTATCGGGCTCGACCAAACACCAAGATGGAAGGATCCGTTGATCCTGTGCGCTCTTTTCCAAAGGCCTCGGTCGGCCTAGTTGCCAGCCATGGATCAAAGCTGGGCTAAAGAAAGGGCCCTTCCTGTGGAGCCAGATGCAAGGGGATGCATGTACATGTCACAAGCTGAACCTACAAGGCTGGAAGTTGCACACTCCCAACTTAGTGTTTGAATGACTTGACCATTTGCAGTATCAGTATTGGTTGTTGGTTCCCAGGTTGGCATGGTCACTGGCAAGCCGGTAGCATGGGCGGCGACTGGGTATTTGTCTCAATCATAGAATGGTCATGCGCTGTGAAAGAGTCAATGAAAGAATGTTGAATGCATTGACTAGGCACGGGAAAGCTTGACCTGTGAGATTGACACCATTGACGAAAAGGACCACCAGTTGCCAAATGAACCAACACATTTGCAGAACCAACAAAATGTCAGGATCTGACATTCGATGGCTTCCTCAACGACTTTCTGTCATTGCGAAGACCATTGCGAGTGCGTCGTATGCTTGGATCAGAGGTGATGATCAGAGTGATCAGAGGTGATGTTCGAGCCATGCCTGTTGACCGCGGTTGAATGAGGTGCAGGTGGCAAATACATGCCAGCTTACGAACGGTGGGCCAATCTGCGGTATTTGGTGAGAAAGGCCAGGAGTGAATTTACACTCCAAAGCAAGCACATGGGGCAAGCACAGGGCCCTTGCTGCAAGGCTGGCGAAACTGTGATGTCAGCCGGCAACTCATTTTTTGCAAAGCCTAAAGTCCTTTCTACACTTTTCTCTTCCACTCCTCAATGAGGCGGTCACCATTCCATATCCAGAGGATTTTGGAGACGTGGACGCAAAAGATGCGAGACAGATGTCACTTAAAGAGTGCAACACTCAGATTCAGGATCGTCTCTTGCTAAACCAGTCTCTTGGATTCTCTTAGTATATAAAGTGTCCCAACAATCTAGCAGGTATGTGCAAAATGTCATGGGCAAAGTGAACTCTACTTCAGGGACACCGTGCCTCCCTCAGTCAGCCCCTTTCTAGAATTGTTCTGCTCTATTCAAAAATAACGAAATGCGTTCTTGCATGTAGTAAGCCTCAAAACTAGCCTTAGTAGGAGTCACCATTGCCACCAGGTTGTATGTTTTCTCTGTGGTCGAGCAGGATGACCCAAAGTGCTTCCAGCTCAGTAGTCGCAGAAGCTCTGATGCTCATGTTTTCCTGCAGCTCAGGTTTCGGAAGCTTTTGTCTCTGATCCAAAAAGATGTGGCACCTCATCCACATTGGCTGCAGGAGCTGTTTGAACCGCTGATCAATCATGGCTTCACTGTCTTTTATTCTTGGCTGACGCTTGCTTGCCAAAACCACCAACCGGAAAAGCGATGGGCACTGGAAAAACCACCATGGCATGCGAGGATCGAAAGGACGCCACGATGCAGCGGTATCACTTTGGGAACATTCAATTTGGCCTTGGCCCTGCTGGCTCCGGAGCTCCACAGTGTAGCCGGCTGGATGGAACAAGCCATGCAGTGATCGGCCCGCTACCATGCGCCAGGCATTATCACACCCATGCATATGCTGCGCTCTTTAGTGGAAAGAAGCAGTGGCTGCTTGGTCCTCAGGCAAATACATCAAGCAGTGAGCTGCTTGTCTCAAGAAAGAACTGGCTGAAGGTTTTATCCTCCACCAAAATCTTCATTGTCAAGACAACATGTGCAGCCTGGCATGTTTGATGGAAGGGCCTTTTGCACATCGGGGGATTTGTGGCAGGCTATCAAGGCGATGAATGAGGACAAGCGGAGAAGGAAGCAACTTCCGCCCAGAGCTGATGTAGAGTTTGATGGGGTACGTCAAAAAGTGTAGAAGCTTCCGAAACCCGTGAAGCTGGTATTCCATTTGCACGCGTCATTTCTAAGCAGCTGCTCTGCTTTTGTACTGAGGGCTGTAGAAGGTCTTCAGGAAGGATTGAAGCTGAAAAGCAGCTTTCCCTTGGCTTGCGAGCAGGCAGTGGCCTATCCTGATGTGCTTTCACACGATGTAAGAATACACACACACAGAGCAGGTTCCGGGCGATATTTTCTATGTCCGACCCTTGGATTCTTCAGCATTTCTAACACGTGCTGAGTTTGCCCCTGTGCCTTGAGGTACCGACGGATTGGGGTCATATGACTTTCAATGCAGAGACCAGTGTTTCAATATCTCGCGAGTCTGCACCCGAGACTTTATTGGATTTGAGCATCATTCTGAGATCCAACATCGGAATGCAAGCTTTGCTGTATGTTCCAATGGCAAGTCAGTGGGCTTGTCATTTACCAAGTATCTAAAGGTTCTTCATGATCTTCATGTACCTTCATGTGTACTGTGGATTTGATATATCGTTTTCAGGTTCAAAGTCTAACTTTGCATTTGCGCCACTCCTATTCAGCAATTCGCAGCAAGTGCACAAATCGACCATAGCCGCCATAGCCTCTCATCTTGAACCTGCATAGATTCCTGCAGACAAGAAAGTAATAAAAACATCGTGCCAGATGAAAGGGGACATTGCATGAGATTGCAAGATGGCAGAGATACACGAAGAAGAGGAGAGGGTTTCTTGGACATCACCGGACACCTGGTTCATGAAGTTCATGAAGTCTCACTTGTACTGAGAACAAGCTCAACAAACACAGAAGAATTATCATACAGTGAACTTGCGATGGCGTCGATCCGACAGACCTAAGGAACGGTCACTGACTGTTTAAGGACAACGATTGCAGTACTAGTAGCTTCTTGCTCCTAGTAGCGATGCCAGGAGCCCCCAATAGCGTCTTGCTCCTAGTAGTAAGGCCAGGAGCTACTAGTAGCTTCTTGTTTTCAAACAGTGCACTGACAGTTCACTGTTTGGGGTTCTCGAGTAGGGAGAAAGGGCTGGCCACGATAGCCGTGGCCGCGCCGTCCGCCCTTTCATCACCGCCTTGTCCGTTCCTTGTCCGGGTCTGTGTGTCCTGCTTGTCCGCGTTGTTGGCTTTCTACTGCCTTGTCCAGGTGTGCTATGAATGTGACAGTGATGCAACATGTCAAACTTGATATCATCCTGTTTTACAAAACCCATTTTTTTGGCATGCTGCTCCCAAACAGCTGGAGGCCACAGGCACATAATTACAAAAGTTTCCACCATCAATGGAGTTCAACGAATTGACGCAATAACACCCTGCTGAATCTGTTTAGGGTCGTCTATGCGCTGGTTTGACTTGTCTGTTTGTTGTTTGTTGGAGTTTCATTTGTTGGAGTGCTTCTTTTTTGTTTTGAAGCTGAGGGGTGAGGGAGGTACCTGCGAGTCATGTGGGCGAATTAAGCGTCGGCATGGGCTTGATGTGGATGAACAGGTGTCAACATGAATTTGATGGGAACATCGAACATGTTCGAGCATGTAATTGCAGCACAACAATAAAATTTGGAGCAGACCATGCTGTGGACGAACAAGGACAAGGAGAACACGAGCCACAGAGTTGAACAAGGACAGCTAACGTTCCGTTGGCCCTGAGCAAGGCAAGGAAGCCCATGGAAGCCCCTCCACATCTGATCTGAAAATGTTTCGCCATGCGATTTGTGGAGTGATATGTCCAGCAGAGTCATGGCTCAAGATGATTGTGTTTATGCATGAAAGATACTGTTTTTCCTTCTCTGCACGGAAACAGGCACAGGCCATAGAACATATATAACTTGTTTTGGCATGTCTTTACCTTGCAATTTAAAGTATTGCGAGTCATGAGGTGGGCATAAGATCATTCTTGACGTGGAATTTCAATGTGCCATGACTCGGAACCTTGTCTCAGGTTTTCTTGGGATGCAGAAGAGACTGACAGCCGGGTCATAAACTCGCTCCAAATCTGACTGCCGTGTGCAGTGGAGAAATGATCCAATCCAGACTGACCGTCAAGAATGCAAGGTATCCTATTTGATTTTGACGCAAATGCCAGAGAGCCGCTTGAAAATATTGGACAACATGCCGTGCGCCATCGATGTGTGCAGGATACAGCAAGAGCGAGAGAACATCGAGGTGCGCCAATTTTCTTTATTTAGTAACAAGAAGCTACTAGTAGCTCCTGGCCTTACTACTAGGAGCAAGAAGCTACTAGTAGCTCCTGGC